AGGATCGGGTGGTCAGGCTCGCTGACTTGGACACGTGTAATTGTATCTCAATCGGGTAATTCGATGCTCATGCTGTTGATCACTGGATTGTCTGGTCAGGACTCGATTATTTACAGACCGTCGCCACCTAGCTGGAATATTGCTGAGTGCGGCGTACAACTCAACTCATTCACTCCTCAACAGCAACGTCATCTGTTCCCCAACCGCGTCATACCAAAAGACGTTAAAATATGGTCGGCTCGGAGTCAGTTTAATGTGTCTGAGAGGGGTATTCATGCTTCACTGCGGCATGGTATCTCAGTGAGCTAGCACTATAAAACCAGCTTAAGTCTGGGCTAGTACAAGCAGCGGCACATACACATACACACACAAATGCATGCACGTCGTCATATGTTAATGTTTTCTCTATGTAGAGGACATTACTGGTGTCCCCCGACGTGATATTACTGGAATATTGCTAAACTCACTCACTCACAACACACGGTTCGTCTGCCCACTCCGTGACGGAAGGATAATCACATGACATTACAGTGATGTAACTACATGTAGTTCATATGATTTCTGGTGTCCCCCGCCGTGATATTGCTTGAATATTGCTAAAGTCGGCGCAAAACCATACTCACTCACGCATCTGTTCTCCGAGGGACCTAACAATGTTTAAATATGACGTCACAGTGAAGCGCAATGGTTGATATGTCCTCACAATGAAGCTATGATGTGGTTAATCAGTATTCTCGTGGGTCGTACCCAGTGTTGTCCTCAAAGTGACGTAACATGGTTCATCTGACCTTGCAGTGACGTAACATACCATAGAAGGACGATAACGTGTGGATTCCTCGACCGTAATGTGACTGTCCGTCTGCGTCTAAGCAACGACTCTCAAACAGTTCATGACTTATAGGATAGCAACTTTTACTCATTCACTCAATAATTACCCTATGAAGATATACCATGAGAGGTTATGCACAGGTACAGTCTCCTGTCAGTCAATCTGCATTGGTATTATAGATCAGACATTACGTTTCGTTTCAGGAGGAAAATTACTTATACCAGAAACTGGCTTCACATGTCAAGGAAGTCTCGTCCACATCGCCTACGTCATACACATGGCGATATGATCGGTAATGGAGGCACTTCTGCGCATTGATTTTAGCACACGTTTGACCTCTCACAATCAACCCTTGACCTTGGAGCTCACGCGGAATAATCACATGAGACCTTATCACGCACACAGGACGTTTAAGCTTCAGCCTATGCGTTAGATCAAACGTGACTATTACAAAGCAAATGTCTGCGTTGGTTACTTTATTGAAGACCTGGTATGGATGATACAACGATGGCATCCCTCAAGGTGGCATTCCAGGATGGTATGCTGATTGAATTTGCAGGATTAATCTGAATGATTACTATTTGTCAAATGGAGGATATCTGCACACTGGTATATCTGATTTCATGTTGATGTGTACCTGGAATACTAGATTCTGTAAACGTAGTCCAGTCCTTGTCAAAATGGAGCCATCTTTATAGCATACGCTACAGGTTTTCCTGTCAAAGCAGAACCCGCTATATAAATCGCACGACATCTCTCTGTGTGTAGAAGTTGAGGCCAACACACAACGTAGGGAACAGAGCCCACAATACGCTGGAGACTACAACGCTCCCGATCTGGGCATTGAGGACTATACTTCATACTCTAAAACAAAACACACCATAACACTCCCTGGTACACTAATAGACATCCACTCCCTGAACAGATCCCCCCACCAGCAGTGTACACTGATACACTCCCCGTCTGAACAGCGATCCTCATCCCACCACGCAGCATACACTAATGCACTTCCGGTCTGAACAGATCCCTACTATACAGCGTACTCAAATGCACACTACAGCACTTCCCGTCTGAACGGATCCCCACTACACTGCATGCACTACAACACCCCCGGTGAACGCATATCCCCCCCTACCCCGGTCTGAACAGATACTCACAGCGTACACTGCACTGCACTACAGGTCCCCCACAGCGTACACCACAGCACTCGGTCTGAACATATCCCCACTACACTGCATGCACCCTACTGAACACCCCCGGTCTGAACATACACTTATCTGAACCCCACTACATTGCTAATACACTCCCGGCCTGAACAGATCCCCACTTCACAACACTACACTTCGTCTGAACGCATCCCCACTGCTCAACGTACACTACAGCACCGCGATCTGAACAGATCCCCACTACATATACACGATGGGCTGGTGGGGTACAGCGTAGCCTAGTCTGCAGATCGCACGTCACGCCTAAGACCCGGTCTGAACAGATCCCCACCCCACAGCGTACCTTTAATACAATGATCTGAACAGATCCCCACTTCACAGCGTAGCTAATACACTTTCGGCAGATCCCACTCCACCGTGATATTGCTGAACTAATGGGCTCCGGTCTGAATAACCCCCTATTGCGTACAAGCGGCGCAGATCCCCAAACTACACTCACCCACTGAGCAGGGCCCACTATAGCGTACACTACAGCACTACAGGTCTGAACAGGTCCCACTGTACAGCGTACACTACAGCACTGCCCGTCTGAACAGATCCCCACTACACAGCGTACACTAATGCACTTCCGGTCTGAACAGGTCCCTACTATACAGCGTACACTACAGCACTGCCCGTCTGAACAGATCCCCACTGCTCAACGTACACTACAGCACCGCTGGCACTGTCTGAGCAGGGCCCACTACACAGCGTGCACAACGCAACTGCTTCCTCCACTTTATACCGCTTGACGTCCAGAATGGTGGTTTCAACACCGAGGAGCTATATACCGTGACGAAAATACCACCTGCACATTCCGCCTCATTACTATCTGAACGCGCGTTGTGTTTTTGCTCGTTGATTGTGTGATATTATAGGTGTTTGAAGAGCACTGTTATTTGCAGGTTAACGTAGATATGCCATTCATCTTCCAGTTTACATTAGTGTTTTGTAAGAAAGGTCTTGTGTGCTCATTACCAGCGTGAGTGTCGAGTTTATATTTGAAGTTAATCGGCTGTTGACTGAAAGGACTGTGGGTAGCATAAGATAGATGTGTCGGCTGTTGTTGCAGTTGCGTGCAAAGGAGCCTCATTATCATGACATTTACAAAATGAAGAATGAAAACATTCAACAACCAGGTAGACGAGTGGTTAAAACGTCATGCCGAAGGCGCGGGTTCGATTCCCCACGTGGGTACAATGTGTGAAGCCCATTTCTGGTGTACCCCGCCGTGAAATTGCTTGAATATTGCTAAAAAACGGCGTGAAACCCAACTCACTCAGTCAATCATCAGTCCACCAACCAAATATTGGAGGCAATACCAACCATGCGTAGATCAGGGGCCACACAGTATCTCGAATGGAAAGGTTAAATTCTAACAGCCACCCAGATGGAAATCGTGTCACCGTTGGCAGTTGATGCGTTTTCTTTGCCACTGTCAAGAGATTTGTGGGGAAGGAGTTCAATTCAATTCAACACCACCCCGGGAAAGAGGGCCTACTGAAGGTCAGACCTGGAGTTGCAACGTACACACACCTCACCTACCTGTTAGGATTACGGATGATGAGATCATGAGACGTCACACAGCTAGAACAGTATGCATCGCCCATGAGAGTTGAAGACAACTGAGGAATAATGTAAACTGGTCATGGTAAAGGTTTCAGGAACCCGGGTTCCAAGTACCCCCACAGCGACAGATCACTGGATTTCTCGACTGACAGATAGTGGTTATAACGCAGGACAATCGCTGAGTATGGCATCAAAACTACCCAACAAACAAATATGTTCTTGCTTGTCTTGATATCACTTCCAGAACTGTCTGTAGCTCGAGCTATTCAGATTACCACCTAATGAAGTTGGCTGTGAACAGGAGTGTTTGGAATTGGCCATAATATTTATGTGATCTGTTACACGTTCCCGGGATATACTCGGGACCACATTCGTTGACTAACTCACTTTGAACATTACATATCTGGAGGATATTCTTTCTCAAATTATTCGAGTATACTTAGGAAACTTGCACCAATATCTCAGCGTAAACCCAACACTTAAAATATATTTGTACCTGCCCCTACACCGAAACAACCTTCGAGTCGAGTCTGGACCACACAATCCAGTGATTCACATCATGGGCATCATTATACGCAACTGGGATACGATGACATGTGTCAACCAAGTCAGTGAGCCTGACCACCCGATCCCGTTAGTCGACTCTAACGACAAGCATGGGTTACTAAAGATCAATTCTTACCCGGATCTTCACGGGTAAAACCACCTTCGAAGTCTTCAAGGTTGGACATCAACCGAAAATGCCAAAGGTCAATGGTTCGTTCCTGTCTCAACTCCATATCAAAAGACGTTTACAGATGGTACTTGTTGAACACTCTCTGGTTTTGAGCTTAAGGATAGGACAACTGCTGTTTGAATAAGGTTATCATGTTAAATTGCAGCATGCTACCTCGCCTCTTAAGTATTCCTTAGATGAGACCTATGCAGTATATATTGAGACACAAATAGCTGTGCCTTATTGGCAGGACGTGTTGGCGTTTTCTTTGTTGTATCTAAAGGTCATACGATGTCCATAAATAGCTGTATCAGTACCATATCTAGCATCTACTAATCAGTGGAATTATATCTCAAGCCTGGTGGTTGCGGGCGCCTCTCAGAACATGAAAGGAAGTTATCCTGCGTTACCTGGACAACATAGCGAGTTTGGAATTACTTTATGCACCGAGTCACTATCGCCAGATCTCACTGACACCATTCTGGTCTGTTTCTGAACGAGTCTAATCTGTCTGAATGCCGAAAACTGAACTCCATTCCGTGCCTGGACTGAAGTGAGTCGATAGTGACACCCTACTGTGCATGTGAAGGAGTCTGGAGTGACACCCTACTTAGTCTGAACCGCGGAAGAGATTGTATTAACGCGGAAGAGATTGTGTGTCTGAACTGTCATCCCTCACCAATATGTCCATTTTGTGAACAAGAAAGAGAAACTATCAACCACATGTTATGGGAATGTGAATTTGTTTTTAAATTATGGAAAGAAATAGAATCATGGTTGAACTCGGTACAGTTACAACTGGAACTTACAAATAAATTCGTTATTTTGGGAATGAAAGGAAAAACAATAATCCGATTAATAAAAATCATTTCAGTTGTCAAACATTATATCTACAGATGCAGCATAAATGGTTTCAAACCAAAGTTAGAATATTTAAAAAATGAAATTGTCCGTCACTATGATATGTCAAGATATGTTTACTTATCTGCGGGAACTGAACAATTGTTTCTTCAATAATGGTCAACATTACATCTATTACTTGGAAGATAATCCAACCAATTATACTTTTTCAGCCAACTGTACATTTTCATACATGTATACATATACCATTGTATTATTTAGAAAGTTATCTATACATGTTTGCCTGTACATGAAATATGGAATATAAGAAAAAAAAAAAAAAGTGTCTGAACTGTGGTGAGTCATGAGTGATGCCCTGTTGTGTCTGAACCATTGGGAGACTGGAGTGACTCCCTCAACTTCGTCCGAACGGTGGGGTGGCGGTGGTGGTGGGGGGACTGGAGTGCCACCCTGTTGTGTCTGAACTGTGGGGAGACAGAAATGACAACATGCTATGTCTGAACCATAGGAAGACTGGAGTGCCACCCTGTTGTGTATGAACTGTGGGGAGACAGAAATGACAACATGCTAACATGCTATGTCTGAACCGTAGGAAGACTGGGGTGACACCCTGTTGAGTCTGAACAGGATTGAAATCGTTCTGTGTCTGAAACTTTGGGAGAATGAACTTCGTAATTGGCAAGGAAACTGACGTGCCTGCAATGACTCACAACAGTCCCATATCCGGATGACGGAGTTGCGAAGTCCTTCAGTATGTATGGGTTGGGGCAGTTACTCTCTTGGAAAACACTTTGTCACTTCAGTATGTATGGGTTGGGGCAGTTACTCTCTTGGAAAACACTTTGTCACTGATGTCTCTGAAATATAAGTCACATATTGCTCCAGACGAAAAGGTTCGCCTATGTGACCGTCAAGATATAACATGAACATTGCCTTTCAAAGACCGTAGTGATTACATTTCTTCAGTCGACTGAAGACTGACGGAATATCCATTCTTCCAATATTGGCCACTTCACTTCAAAGTGATACAAACTCGTTACTGTCGACTACAAATTGATAATATATAATGCACCCTATTGCAGACAGTTGTGATATATATTTCATGCTCACGTGGTGTTGTACAAATGCTTTCTTTCCACTCATGTTTTCCCTCGTGCAGCCCGCTGTTGCTCAGTGACCGGAAGTCATCAGGTCTTCTATCTGTGCATGAAGGCGGAAGAAGAAGGTGATCAAATCCGATAGCAATCCTTCTTCAAATTAGTTGAGTCATAATTAAGGTAGCAGTTAAGGTAAAGGAGAAAAATTATGATCCCTATTTTTCTTTCCTTGTGTGGACGGCTTGCGTTGCCGATGATGTAGTGTGTTCTCGTGTGTGTAATCGCTTACTGTGTGATCACTCAGTGTGATATTGCTTTGAAAGTTACATGGGAAGAGCTAGGTTTTCTGTTCAAACTCAATTAACTTTAATGTCCAACCGCAATTATGGTTTTATACCGCACGCATTTCACGTAACACGTTTTCCTATTTCAAAATTTTATTTCATCTCACGTAAGATGAAAGCGTTTAAATACGGCAGCTTCTCCTCGTACAATTATTCACGTGATTACATTCGGTGATTAATGGCCAAGTTGGCAGTATCTGAGTGTGCAGTCGTCACAATCGTCTGGCAATTGTTAATGATCGTGTTTACAGAGGGCTTTCTCCTCTTGACCCGCATTAAAACGTTGGTCGTTGACGCCACGGCGGCATCATGGGGACGATCGATGCCAAACATGAACATTGTTTTACAGCAGAAGACGCATGTATCCGCTGCTCGCTTGCCATTAAGCAGATCGAGACATGCACATCACCGGATGTGGTTTACGTGATCATTCTCTACATCTCCTTGCAAACCAATATTGACATTTGATAACGGAAGTCACATGACACATGCATGGGGCATCGCCGCAGCGCGACCAACTGGTGTGACATCTCGCTAGATCCTGCTGGGAAATTGTGGAATTCGTCTCTTTCATGAGCTTTCATATTTTTTCAAGGCCATTTAGTTAACCGACACATGGAAAGGATTTTGCAACTGAAATGCTCATTATTAGGTGCTTTTGGAGAAAAAGGTTTAAGAGCGTATGCTGTATGTAGCCTATGGATAATATCAATGTTCCACACATGCAGACTATATTAATTGTATATGCCCTCAGTCAACACGAGCGGGCGGACGGGAAAGCAAATGGTTCAGGGCATAAAGGTTTATCGGAAGGGACATTACTCCTTCACTGTTGCAGCGGACTCATTCAGCCAGGCAATATTTCACGCTCATCACGTGTTTTTTTTATTTTTAAATATTTAAAAAATGCATTTGTTAGAACTTTATGAGACACAGCCCGACACGATAACATGGCGTTATCCACATAACTCACACTTCAGAGACAATCCCGTTATCACCTCTATCGTAACTATCGCACAGAAAACATTAAGAAGGAGGATGTAGGTTGTGTATAAGAGACCTTAATGATGTCTACGTCCAACAGCCGTGATTTACTCCGAAATGGGAGAAGACTTGTACTCGCTCATTCAGCAGGTCTTGCGACAGGTATCATTAGAATCGCATATGTTGCTATGTGTTCTGCATGGAACTGCCATGGTTTGTTTATTGTCGGGTTGAGAACCATCAACACTTGTACGACAATTACAGGTTGATTCCCAAGCTGAAACTAAAAAGACAACCGAGACTAAGTCCGTTAAAAAGCAATGCGTGAAAGCAACATACAACAAAGAAGTGGACTGCAATTAACTTTATTGTACTCTAAATTTAACAAAGTTTACAAAATCACTACAACTTCTGTACAAATATCACTGTGACAGTACAAAATGGAGTGGCAATACAAATTCAGAAGCAGTATAACACACGAGCCGTGTTGGTTATACCAGAATGAGGCTTCGGAAATCGTACCCATATACGCAATCACACCTGTGTCTTTGGAGTGATGTGCGATCACATTAACCACTAGGCTACCACCCCATTAAGACCAAGGCCCCACCAGTACAACGTGAGTGAGTGAGTGAGTGACCATCTTCGAGTGAGTGAGTTTAGTTTTACGCCACACTCGGCAATATTCCAGCTATATGGCGGCGGTATGTAAATAATCGAGTTGAACAAAGCAATCCAGTGATCAACATCATGAGCATCGATCTACGCATTTAGGAACCAATAACATATGTCAACCAAGTCAACGAGCCTGACCACCTGATCGCATGAACTATTTCCTTCCGCAATATATTCCAGCTATATGGCGGCGGACTGTAAATAATCGGATCTGGACCAGACAATCCAGAGGTCAACTGCATGAACATCAATCTAAGCAATTGGGATACGATGACACGTGTCAACCAAGACAGTGACCCTGACCACCCGATCCCGTTAGTGGCCTCTTACGACAAGCATGGGTTACTGAAGATCAATTCTAACCCGGATCTTCAAGGATGCCATTACAAAGCGATCACTCCACTGTTTACATGTGAAAGGCTTTGTTATAAGTTACAAACAAAGAAACATGTGCTCATGGCAGTCGCTTGAACTGTTTCACAAGCTGGAGACCGAATTGTAAACAACGATATCTTCGACTGTACTTAACCTGTCTCATAAACTAGGACCCACCTGTGCAAAGCGATCTCTTTGATTTAAGTAACTTACAAGCCTTAACCCTCCTGGACAAAGCGAACGTTTAGACAGTTGCAAATCTATTAGAAACTAGGACTCACTTATACGAAACAACCACTTGTTCGCGAAAAAGGGCAACCCTGTTCTGCCCTTCTGGTACATGTAGTTTTGCCATTCACAAAATGTGCCTCAGTAAGTCACTTTTCGCACTCCGTGGAAGTCACTGCCTCTCGCAGCGGATCTTCCACTAAGATCTTCTGGCATCTGCCGTTCTTCTCTGAGGACGAACCCCTTCCTAGAAGCCTGAATGTAATAAAAAAAAACACAGCCCCGTTGAGCAATAAGTAGCCAAGAGAAGTTAATCCTCATATGTTTGTTGTTTTCATTAAAGTTCCACTTTATGCTGATATGAATGGGAATTGCCTTTTCACAAGTACCCAAGTATGTATGTAAGTAATTCAGAAATTCGTCAAGTTTTGCAAGATTTTGTCCAGAAAAATTTGAAAGGAACACAATCATTTCCGAAAATATTCCAAGACGTCTATTAAACTCAGATTCCATTGTACTATTCCAACTATGTCCAAAGCATGTTCATATTAATCACTAACTTTTTAATCAAGAGGTTTTACAAAAAGGGTTAAAATAGTCTGCACCCGTCACAAACGCAGACAAAGTCAAAACAATTGTTCACCTGTATCACTCAGAATATACGATACAAGAATAAAATCGGATTCGCATGATGCTCTTTGAAATCTTAGTAGAAAGAGCGTGTTCGATTGTTCCTCAAATATTGTAGAATGCAGACATAAAAGACAGTATAGAGCTGTTGAAATATTGTTAAGTTTGTAGCCAATTTTGTCTTTGTTGTTATCTGTTACGAACTCCAGCAACTATTTTCTTGGTATGTTTCATATGGAATTTACTTTCAATTTATCCTGAATGTTTCAAGGCAGAGATATACATGCTGTCACAAACTGTCCCACTGATAAAGCAATTGTGCTTTTCCTTAAATATTTCATAAAGCATATTGGTGTGCTGAGCTACAAAATAATGTGCAGGGACAGACATTAATTTGATTCTTTTCTTATATTGCAAATGTTCAAGCTAATCATTTCGGATTTGATAATCTGCATGGTATTAACACCACGTGTCTCAAACACCTTCTTTGAATGTAAGTC